GAGCATCACCTAAAAGCGTATCTGCTGTAATGTAAACACGAACCAGTACGGTATGTCTCCTCTTTCCGAGCGAACAATTCTCTTCTGGCAGCCGTCCGCTCATAGACAGCCTACTGCATTTGTGTGTGTGGCTGCAGGGAGCCCTGAGACTCGTGCTAAGTAAACAATTACCGGGCGAGGTTCCTAGCCCAGAGCAGCCAATGTGCAAAGAAGTATAGACAGCCTTTGGATTGAGCTTGACTTGGGTACCAATACTCTTTAAGGTCTGCTATTTGTCAGCCCATCACTTAGCCTTTTTTGCCTCAATTTTCCCACCCGTGAATGGACAAAGGCATTTGACACAAGCTTCATGACCCAAGTTCACACCCTAAATCCCACGTTAAAAGGAGAACTGATGCCTGAAAGTTGTCACCTGGCCCCCACATGCACAGCACACACGCACACACATGTTCACACACATACAGATATGCATGTAACAACAATTAATGAAAAGACAAGGCCACGAATTTGAAGTAGAGCAAGTGAGGTTATATGGGAGCATTTGGACGGAGGAAAGGGAAGCGGGAAATGATAATTGAAGAAAGTCAGTAGCTTTTATTCTCGATCACATTTTAAATATATTATGGTTAAGACAGAGCATACCTTACGTGTGTATATGTCTAATCAGACTGATGTCTTCTTACTTGATGTACCATCTTCCCATGTTAATCTGTGTCTACATCTACACTACCTTCAGGGCTCATATATTCCATCTAATGGATGCACTGCAATTTACTGATAAAATACATTTTCCAGCTTCTTCTTAATACACTGCTATTTCAAGCAGTGCCAAGAAAGAGAAATTGCCTCTTTATTCCCCAAATATACCTTAGGGCATAAACATGTTTAAAGTAGAGTAGACTACTTACTACCAGTTTGCCTGTTTGAAAAGTCTTAGGCAGAAGTTGTACTGTCCTTCACCCTCATAGTGAGTCCCTGAAAAGTGACATCTCATTTCTCTCTAGACTTACTCTCCTGCTCTTACCACAGACACAGAATATTTTTCTAATGTCCACAGATTACTTATGGATCTACAAAAAGAAAAAAAAAGGAAGGAGGGAAGAGAGAGAGAGAGAGAGAGAGAGAGAGAGAAGCCCAACAACTTTATATAAATTAAGAGTTCAGGGGCTAGGAATCCAGCTCAGCTCCAGAGAACTTGCCTGATATTTGCAAGGCCATGTGTTTGATCACCAGTAAAAATACACAAATGACTAAATTTCAAAAAAAAAAAATTAAGAGTTCAAGTTTTTCCTCATTGAGTTAAAAAAATTATAAGATGAAGATGGTTTTCATGTGATATTCTCATACACACACACACACTGTGAATGCTTTGCAAGTTTACAGTTGCCTTATCCTCCCTCGCTGTGTTTGGTCAGTTCTTGAGAATGCTCCATTTCAGGCTTTTACAAAGCTCAAAGGTAGGACTGTATCCTGAGCATACATCACCACCTGCATTCAGTCCCCAATACACAGACACGTACACAGGCACACAGACACACATACATGACAGAGTGGTTTTGTAGTCATTCTTAGTCTTGTTTTGGTACTTTTCTCATTATGTTTTATTAACGTTTAAATTATAATCTATCAGGAATTTATTTTAGTGACATAAACCTGCAGTTAGTTTTCTCCAAACAAGTTAACAAGCATTTTATTCACGAATGATGTTTCCTACTAATAGGGGTGCTACCAGAATCAATTTCTAAATTCTCACAGATATTCGATTGGGTACTTTTAGGTTTCCTATTCTGCTCTATTCACTGATGTGTCTCTTGCCTGCCAGTAAATGACCGATGTGTGAGAACTAATGTTAGGTTGTGATACTTTAGAAAGTTTTTTTTCCTAGTCTCATAACAAAATCAAAAGCAGCTTGAGAAACTCAAAATTGTTAAAACGATGATATTCTTATTTGGCTTCTGTAAAATTGATAAGGATACGGAGTTCACATTCTGGGAATTATCCATCCTCTATTTGAGAACATGGAACTATTTTCCCACTTCAAAATACAGCAAAAAACATAGTCACACAGGTATGTGTTGATATGTTATTGGATATTACTGGAAGAATCGTTAACCCTCAACAGAAACATTTCTCCCATTATGTATTTTTACAATGTAAAACAATTTTAAATGTGTGCAAAAAATTAAATTGTTTAGTTAATGCACTTTACACAGCCAATAAAGGGAACTTTAAGTGGATCAGAAGTCAGCTAGAGTGTTTTCTATTGTAGTCTTTACTGCTCATACAGGAGCGGGTCCCAGATCCCACAGAGGCTCTGGCATCCAAAAGCAAGATAGGAAGAGTCAAGCTTCCTTAGTGACAGCCAGCAGCCTCTGTTCCAGACAAGGTGCTTGCTCCGCCACCAGCCACGTCCCGCCCCTCTAGCTCGGGGCCCTAATTATTACCTGTCCTTCTTGTCTCTATCGTTCACGCCACTTTTCCCAAGGATAAGGATATGCTGTACTTTGGCTACGTCACCCACGCTTGCAGCCTTGTGGATCTTGCCCATATCCTTGTCGTGAATGTGGTACCTGGGCATGTGGGCGCCACTAGCATTCTCATGCCCAAAGCCCACGCAGTTGTTCCGCGGGCGAGCAGAGGGGCCTAACGGCGACGGGCCCTTACTTCTGAAGCCAAAAATCTTCTTCATGGCAAGGGGGTACGCCCCTCACAGGCACCTTCTCCGCGCGTGGCTTCGGCTGCCTCCACAACGCAGCCCTAGCGTCTACTGAAGAGCCAGCCAAGTTTCACGGAGTCCCAGCAGGAAAGTCGCTGCATGGCTCGGCAGGATTTTAAAGTACGATAATCGCCGAGCAAAGCTGCAAACTAGCAACCCGCGCCGGCTAGTCCCCGCGCACGCGCGTACTGGCCCGGCCCAGCCGGTGCCCCGCACGCATGCGCAGAGCCAGGCTCCACCCTCTGCTCTTCGCGGAGGTCAAGCAGCAGCCAAGTTGGTTCTCTAGCCTTGGGCTTTCGCCCAAGGTTTGCTGTGTCTTCCCTAGCCGCGCAGATCTATCCTCAGCTAGTGTGGCCTGCGGGCCAGCCTCGGCTTCGGGATCCCCGCAGGGCTCCTGTTCCAACAGGGATCCGAGCGAGGACCCAGCACTCCAGGCTTCCTGGGCATCTGCAGAAGAGCCCAGAACCTTCTTGACCCGCTGAAGGCCTGCTTCCCTGCTTAGCTTTGGCCTTGTGTTTCAGTGGCAGTTATAAGGTCCTTGGGGGCAGGCAGGCGACTCTTTTAACCTGGGCCATAATCCAAAGGTGGACCAAACTACAGGCAGCATGGATGGAATTATAGCATGAGAGACTAAGGGAAGAGATTTTTTTTTTGTCAAGCTAATCCATTAAATATTTGGGAATTAGTGAAATATGGTTGTTTTTCATAGCCCAGAGAGTCAATGTATGAATTACACAAGCTGATAGCAAGTGAAGATGTCTGCATATGGGGCCTGAATGAAATAATGTGACCTTAGTTTTTGGTTTTGGACTTGGGAAAAGTAATTCATAGTAAACAGTGGAAACATCTGCTTTGACGTTTTAAAATCCTAATAATTTTGTCAATCTAAATCTAGAAACAGCTCACTTCAAAGGGTGTGGTAGCTAGTGTTAGATCAAGTTGGCATACAAACTAGCATTATCGAAGAGGAGGGAACGTCAATTGAACAAAATGCCTCCATAAGAGCGAATGTAAGGCATTTTCTTAATTAGTGATTGATGGAGGGGGGCCCAGCCCATTGTGAATGGTGCCATCCCTGGCTGATGGTCCTGGGTTCTATAAGAAAGCAGGTTGAGCAAGCCAGTAAGTAAGCAGCAGCCTTTCATGGCCTCTGCATCATCGGCTCCAGCCTTCATGTTCCTGGGCTGTTTGACATGTCGTCCTGAGGTTCTTTGATGATGAACAGCAATATGGAAGGATAAGCTAAATAAACCCTTCCGTCCCCAACTTGCTTTTTGTCCATGGTGTTTCATCGCAGCAATAAAAACACTAAGACAAAGGGAGTAAAATACCATTAATTTTGGAGCCAAATCTTACTGCCCAAGTTTCAGGAACACAGGTTCAGTTTACCCCAAATTCCGTTCTGTGTTCTAATTTTAAGAAGTTGTATAAAAAGAGAATAAATCAACACACTTTTCAAATGCATTGGTGGGGACATCAGGTAGGTAGGTTTTTAGCAACCCTGGAGATGATGGTGACTGTGTTATTCTCCTCCGATGCCTTTTGATGGATTTCTTAGCCCTTCTGATTGATGGAAACAGACTGATTGAACATTCCAAAGATTTTACCTAATGGTAACAAAGAGGTTAGGTCCCTCACATAGCAGAACAAGATGTCTCGATGTAATTTGGCTCCGGATTTGCAACATTCAGAGCTCTTTGCTGCTGTAGTTCTGGTCAGTCGGTCTTGTGCTCACTGCTTCTTTCTGGGAATCCTGCTACACAGTGTGGGCCTATTTTACATGCTGAACTCTGTTCATAATGATTTGACTTGCGAATTTAGTTTTTGTAATAAAAATTGAAATAATCTCTACTGCTACTGAACTTATATGTGTATAGAGGAGGGGGTGTCTCACTCTAGCGGGAGCTGACCTTGAACCTACAGTTATTCTCCTGCCTCTGCCCTGGAATGTTGGTGGTATGGGTTTCAACCGCTGCTCCTGCCTTCTATTACTCAGTCACACTTCTTTGGATCCTGCTCTGAATCTTTTTCTATCCACTAGTGGTTCTCTGTAATATCCTCCATCTGCTGCAAAAAGGAGCTTCTTTCAGGAGTGTTGGGACCAATTGGAGTCCTGGCCTTTAGCTGTTCTTCCCTGCTAGAACCTTCTAATTGAAGTTACTAAAAGCTGTGCCTTGCCTAGAGGATCAGAGGATGGGATTTTCACCTGTTGGCCATTGACTGCAGGGTATTTAAGTCTCCGTGATGCTATTAAAGAGGGGCTTTTGTACCAGTGGTTGGAGGTCCGTGTGTCGGTCTGCCTGTCTGCCTCTGTGTGTGTTTCCTCAACCTCCAGCCCCTTGCCTGAAGCTCCCAAACTGACTGTAGCGCATAGAGCGCAACCGGGGGCGCGGTGTGTGGCAATTGGAGGTGGTATCGAGACATCGGGAACTAGGGAACACTGAGACGCTGAGAGGTCGCCCTCAGAAGGAGAGGGTGGATTGAGGTATGTGTTAATCCTGACGTCCTTTGCTAGGTTTCGGCCCCAGGGGGGACAGGGTCGTTCCCGGCCAGCGGGGACGTATTGAGAAATTAAGATGGGAATTGTTAGCAGTATCTTCTCTTCCTTGTTCAGAAAACAGTCAGTCACCAGGGAGGAGTTTGATTTAGAGTTCATAGAGGATAGTGAGGATTCATCGGAAGATGAGGAAATTATACGCAGGCAAATAAGAAATCTCTGTAGAAAACTGAGAAAATGTAAAGTAAAAAAAGATTCACACCCAACTCCCTCGGCCCCACTGGTGGTCGCAGTTAAGTAGGGACTCTAACATTGAACAAAACAAAGGGGTTTGCTTTCGTCCTACACACAGATTGCACCAGTAATGGAGGTGCCAGATACAAACAACCCAGGGCAAATAATTCGCCAATATTTTGGAATACAATTTAAAGAAATGAAGCAATTGAAGGAAGCTGTTGCTGCATATGGGGCTCAAGCACCCTTCACACTGGCCATGGTAGAATCTTTCTCCGCTCTGAACTTAACATCAAGTGATTGGTAGCAATTATGTCATGCTGTCTTATCTGGGGGAGATTATCTCATGGCGAAGGGAATATCAGGAAAATTGTATACAAACAGCCCAATTAAATGCTCTAGTGGGTCAAGCTCAACGTAATTTATAGATATGTTAACTGGGGCTGGGGCTTATGCTGATTTGCAGCAACAGATTCTGTATGATCCAGGAGCATTCACCCAAATAGCTGCAGCTGCCACTAAAACGTGGAAGGCCCCACCTAACAAAGCAGCTGGGGATCAATTATCAAAAGTTCTACAAGGACCGTCTGAACCATTCCAAGATTTTTTTGTTGTTTTTTTTTGTTGTTTTTTTTTGTTTTGTTTTGTTTTTCGAGACAGGGTTTCTCTGTGGCTTTGGAGCCTGTCCTGGCACTAGCTCTGTAGACCAGGCTGGTCTCGAACTTAGAGAGATCCGCCTGCCTCTGTTGAAACAAGAGCGGCGGGGCTGCGTCCCCAACACCCCGACCGCTTGGCTAGCTTATGCCCGAAATAACAACACACAAACTGTGTTCACTTAAGAACTGCTTGGCCCCTGAACTCTAGCCCTTACAGGCTAAATCTCGCACCTGGACTAGCCCATTTCTAATGATGTGTGTAAGCACCCCAAGGTGCGCTTACCGGGAAGATTCTAGCCTATGTCCATTCTGGGTTCGGAGCTGAGAGGAGCTTCATTGCATGCATCTGCCCGGGAGATCGGAGCATGGCGTCTCTCAGGAAGCAGAGCAGAGTCTGACCTCACTTCCTCTTCCGCCCAGCATCCTATTCTGTTTATTCCACCCACCTATGTTCTAAGCTATGAGGCCAAGCAGTTGGTTTATTATAATTAACCAATGACCTTCCCCCATCATGCCTCTGCCTCCCGAGTGCTGGGATTAAAGGCGTGTGCCACCATCGCCCGGCATGAACCATTCCAAGATTATGTAGATAGACTGTTACAAATAGCAGGTAGATTGTTTGGAGATGTGACAACAGCCACGCCTATAATAAAGCAACTTGTATTTGAAAATGCCAAAAATATTGTAAGGAAGCCTTACGCCCTCACAAAGCGAAGAGTTTAAATATATCAGGATATGCAGAGATATAGATGGGAATTTCATTCAAGGCCAGGTTATAGCGGCAGCTATTCAACCTCAGAGAAACGTACGAGGACAGGGAGAGAGGGCCGGAGGCTGTAATTGTTTTAACTGTGGAACTTCTGGTCATTTTCGAAAGGAATGCCCACAGCTGACAATGAAGGGAAGGAGGAAACCTGGCATGTGCCCTAGATGCAGAAGGGGAGCACATTGGGCTAATGATTGCCTCTCCAAAACAGAGATAGATGGAAACCCCTGCCACCTACCATTTTAGCCAACAGCTGGGAAACTGGCCGAGGGCCCTGCTCTAGGGCCCCAAAACCTCAGTATATGGAGCAATACACGGGTGAGAGGAACTGTTTTGTGTTTTTCCTCCAGGAACGGACAAACCCATTTGGGTAACAGAGCTATATGTTCCAGCTGTGGAAAATAATGAGAAAGAATCCTGTGATGAGCCTGAGAATGACACCTGTCATTCTCTTGATGAGCCTCCTGGTGAGTCCCAATCAAGCGGAAAGCACTGTGTGAAGCCTGGTAAGGAACCCCCTTGTATTGATCAGTGAGCCAAGCTAGTTCTTTGTATTTATCTTTTTATTCCTCAAACTATACAGCTGGAACTGCTTTGAGCAATATAGCAAGAGAACAGGCTTCTATTAATCAAAGCTTTTCCTTTGTGAATGCTTTGTGCTTTGTTACATTTTTGGGGGGCTATGAATATTACTTTAAAGGAATCCTATACAAGTGAATATAGTTCCTATCTTTCGCTTTTGGAATATTTCTCTGAGAGCCCAGGCACTATTAAATCCCGTGTTTTAGTTTTCTTTCTTTTTTCTTTTCCTTTTTGTAGTATGGAATAGCACCTTTGGGGGAAAAGATTCTCGGTGGTTCTATCAGAAACTGTGGCCTGAGCGACTGCTGGGATGAGCACTCCAGTGCTGCCTTGTTGGTTCGGGTACCAGCCCCCATACCACTGCCAATTACCAAAAAGACTAAGCAGACTGAGATGACCCTGTATGGAGAGAAACGAGGTTCTGGAGAGACAGCTGCAGTGGTTGCTGTGATCGCGGTGTCTGCTGCAATTCATTTTTTTCATGGTTTATTCTCTCGATGTCTGCAACCGAGGACTTTTGGTTATCAACAATATTCTGTAGCCGAGCATCCTCCTGTCTCATTGTTTCACAGTCTAATTCTAGTCTACCAATTTCTTCAAGACCACTCAGTTTTCTGGTCCAGGATGGACGAATTTGACTCCAAACTGCTCATGTTTGCTTTATACTTTTGAACATCTGTTTGCAAGGAAGTTTTCAGCTGCTTCAATGATACTAGACAATTTGGTTCTTTTTCTCTTCCTTGCTCCAACCTTGCAATCTGTTCACTGAGTGCTCTGTTTTCTGCTGATGACTCCAGCTTGGACGCATCTACCTCATATAAATCCTTCAGCTTCGACCGCAGCTCTGCATTCATCTCTTCAAAGGTGTCAGCACCGGTCATGAAACTCTCAACAGCATTTGATGGTGTAGTCCAGAAACAACTTATTATGCTTAATTCCATCTTGTGTTTCTTCTCCCCAAGGCTTCCCATAATCAAATAAAGGTGTGCTTTCTTTCATGGCTCTATGACTCTTGATGCAGTCTATCGGCCATACCAAAGCTGCCGCGATGTGAGGCCAGGTGTGAGGGGCTCCCACTGCATACATGGAGCTCTTGGACAGCGCAAAGGGATACCCAAGGTCTTTAAAAATTATTTGCCCTGGGTTGTTTGTGTCCGGCACCTCCATTACTGGTACAACCATGTGTGTAGGACGGAAGCAAACTCCTTTGTTTTGTTCAATGTTAGAGCTCCTACTCAACTGCGACCACCAGCCTTCATCATTATAAGCCAGTGGGGCCGAGGGAGTTGAGTGCGAATCTTTTTTTTACTTTACATTTTCTCAGTTTTCTACAGAGATTTCTTATTTGCCTGCGTATATTTCCTCCTCATCTTCTGATGAATCCTCACTATCCTCTACAAACTCTAAATCAAACTCCTCCCAGTGACTGACTGTTTTCTGAACAAGGAAGAGAAGATACTGCTAACAATTCCCATCTTAATTCCTCAATACGTCCCCACTGGCCAGGAACGACCCTGTCCACTTTTGTAGTATGGAATAGCACCTTTGGGGGAAAAGATTCTTGGTTGTTCTTTCAGAAACTGTGGCCTGAGCAACTGCTGGGATGACCACTCCAGTGCTGCCTTGTTGGTTCGGGTACCAGCCCCCATACCACTGCCAATTACCAAAAAGGCTAAGCAGACTGAGATGACCCTGTATCGAGAGAAACGAGATTCTGGAGAGACAAACGAGATTCTGGAGAGATGGCTGCAGTGGTTGCTGTGATCGCGGTGTCTGCTGCTGCAGCCATGGTCGCTGGACTAGTACAAACATCGTTGGTGTCGGACACTGTGGATAAACTGGCAAGACAAGTCAACGATGCTCTCCAGACTCAGAATGCGCTGGATGTCCACATTAAATTTGGACTTTCAAATTTAAATTTGGACTTTCAAATTTAAATCAAGAGACTGCCCTATTGTAGGAGCAGGTGGACTTATGCCTAGTACAACAAATGTTTTGTTCACACTTTTATCATTCCATTTGTATGACATCTGTAATATTGCTCATGCCTCTTATGTGGTGAAACAACTAAATGGTTACTTGAATAGCTCTTGAAATGTTACAATTAGCACACCAGATTGTTACCTGTGTGCCCTGTGTTAGCCAAAGGGCTGGTAGAATACCATAGCCCAAATGGAAGGCTGGGTCCAGTGGTGACTGGGAACCCTATTGCTGGCAATCTTAACACCTGTTGCCATTGGCATTCATCTCTGAATTCTGTGTAAGATCAGACGACCCATGAGAATGCAGCATATGGTCACTTAGCAAGTCCTTCTGAGCCTGTTGGCCAGTAACTCAAACGTATTTCAGGTTTGATTGCAAATACTGCACCAACAATGAAGACTCCTCCATAGAAGGGCAACTTCTACAGAAGAGGGTCCGTCTAAGACAGGGAAGGGGCCTCCCAAAGACGGGTAAGGGTTTACTCTTCTGAGATGACCTAAGACAGGAGGGTCTTCTGTTTTATAAATTTAGGGGGGAGATGTTGGGACCAATTGAAGTCCTGGCCTTCAGCTGCTCTTCCCCTGCTAGAATCTTCTAATTGAAGTTACTAAAAGCTGTGCCTTGCCTAGAGGATCAGAGGATGGGATTTTCACCTGTTGACCATTGACTGCTGGGTATTTAAGCCTCCATGGTGCTATTAAAGAGGGGCTTTTGTACCAGTGAATGGAGGTCCGTGTGTCTGTCTGCTTCTCTGTGTGTTTCCTCAACCTCCAGTCCCTTGCCCGAAGCTTGCGAACTGATATAGCGCATAGAGTGCAGACGGGGGCGTGATGTGCGGCGCAGGAGAAGTGAGACTTACACTCACCTGTGGGTCTAAGAAAGTATTTAGAATGAAGGTGGGGGAGGGCTAGACAAAGGACTCTGCCAGCAAGAGAACCTGCCTTCACTTCTCAGCACCCACATGATGGTGGCTAGCAGTGCTCTGTAATATCATTTCCAAGGGATGTGGTGCCCTCTTCTGTTTTCTATGGGTACTGCGCAGACATACATGCAAACAAAACATTCATACACAATCCATCAAGAGGAAATCTCAATACTGAACATCTATGCCCCAGATACAAGGGCACCCTCATTTGTAAAAGAAACACTACTAAAGCTTAAATCACATTAAACCCCACACACTAATAGTGGGAGGCTTCAACACCCCACTCTCAGCACTGGACAGGTCTCAGACAGAAAATTAACAGAAAAATAAGGGAACTAACATGTTATGAATCAATTGGACTTGGCAGACATAAAGAACATTCCAAACAGAAAAGAATATACCTTCTCTGAACATCATGGAACCATTTCTATAATTGACCACATACTATGTAATAAAGTAAACCTCAACAGATAACAAAAAAATTGAAATAACTCCATGTATCTTATTGGATCACCATGGCTTAAAATTAGAATTCAACAGCAACACTAATTTCAGAAAGTCCAAAAACACATGAAAATTAAACAACGCTCACCTGAATCATCAATGGGTCAAAGAAGAAATAAAGGAAGAAATTAAAGACTTCCTAAAATTTAATGAAAATGACCACACAACATACCCAAATTTATGGGACACAATGAAAGCAGTGTTAAGAGGAATGTTCATAGCACTAAACGCCTACATACAGAAACTAGAAAAATCCCACACTAGTGAGTTAACAGAACACCTGAAAACTCTAGAACAAAAAGAAGCAAACTCACCCAGGAGGACTAGATGGCAGGAAATAATCAAATTGAGAGCTGAAATCAACAAAATAGAAACAAAGAATCAATGAGACAAAGTTGGTTCCTTGAGAAAATCAACAAAACAGACAAACCTTATCCAAACTAATCAAAAGGCAGAGAGAGATTATCAAAATCAGAAATGAAAAGGGGGACATAACAGACATGGAGGAAATCCTGAGAATCATTAGATCCCATTTCAAAAACCTGTACTCCACAAAATTGAAAAACTTAAAGGAAATGGGACAATTTTCTGGATAAATATCACTTATATAAGTTAAATCAAGACCATATAAGAAATTAAATAGATCTATAACTGCTAATGATATAGAAACGGTCATCAAAAGTCTCCCAGCCCCCCCTCCCCCCCCAAAAAAAGCCTAGGGTCAAATGGTTTCAGCACAAAATTCTACAAGATTTTCAAAGAACTAATACCAATACTCCTCAAACTGTTCCACACAATAGAAACAGAAGGAACATTGCCAAGCTCCTTTTATTGAGTTACAATAAATCTGATACCCAAACCACACAAAGACTCAACCAAGAAAGAGAATTACAGGCCAATCTCACTCATGAACAACGATGCAAAAAAGCTCAATAAAATACTAGCAAATCGAATTCAAGAACACATCAGAAACATCATCCACCATGATCAAGGTGAATTTATTTCAGAGATACAGGGATAGTTCAACATATGAAAATCTGTCAATGTCTTCTGCCATATAAACAAACTGAAAAAGAAACCACATGATCTTATTAGATGCTGAAAAAGCCTTTGACAAAACACAATACCCTCATGATAAAGGTCTTGGAGGGAGCAGGGATACAAGGAACATACCTAACCGTAATAAAGGCAATATAAAGCAAGCCAACAGCCAACATCAAACTAAATGGAGAGAAACTCAAAACAATACCACTGAAATCAGGAACAAGACAAGGTTGTTCACTCTCTCCATATCTACTCAATATAGTACTTGAGATTCTAGTTAGAGCAATAAGAGAACAAAAAGAGATTAAGGGGATATAAATCGAAAAAGAAGTCAAACTCTCACTATTTGCTGATATGATAGTTTATATAAGTGACCCCAAAAATTCTACCAAGAAACTTCTACAACTCATAAACACCTTCAGTAATACAGCTGGATACAAGATTAACTAAAAAAAAAAAATCAGTAGCCCTCCTGTACACAGATAATAATCGGGCTGAGAAAGAAATAAGAGAAACATTACTGCAATGGTCTGTCCTGTCTCTTTAAGAGACAAGCCACTTCTCCAATGTCCCCCCAAACCTCTCCATCCCCCATCTGCTTGTCTCCCTGGCCAGGATCAGCTACCTTCAGAGACCAGTGTGGTCTCCTGGTGTGCCCATCTGTCTGTCTCTCTTGTGGCCTGCTGCAGCCACTTGGGGAACTGCACAGTCTCTACTTAGGTCTGGCTGTTCTTGGGACCTGCTGCCTGCTGCCACCTGGCCCATTGCTGCTGCTCTTGGGCCTCACTGCCTGCTGCCACTCCTTGGTGACCTGCAGCGTTTCTGCCACTGCAGACCCTGGGGATCCTGCAGCAATTTTAATTAATCCATTAGACATCACTCTTCACAATAGCCATAAATAACATGAAATGCCTTGGAGTAACTCTAACCAAACAAGTGGAAGACATGTATGACAAAAACTTTAAATCTCTGAAGAAAGAACTTGAAGAAGACACCACAAAATGGAAGACTCTCTCCCATGCTCTTGGGTAGGTAGAATTAACATAGTAAAAATGACAATCTTACCAAAAGCAATCTATAGATTCAATGCAATGCCCATAAAAAATCCCAGCAAAATTCTTCACAGATGTCGAAAGAACAGTACTCAAAATCTATGGAAAAACAAAAAACCCAGTATAGCCAAAACAGTCCTGTACAATAAAGGAACTTCCGGAGGCATCACAATCCCTGACTTTAAGCGCTACTACAGAGCTACAGTACTGAAAACAGCCTGGTTTTGGCATAAAAACAGACAGAAGAACCAATGGAACCAAATTGAAGACCTGGATATCAATCCACACACCTACAAACACCTGATTTTTGACAAAGAAGCAAAAAAATATAAGATGGAAAAAAAGCATATTCAACAAATAGTGTTGGTTTAACTGGATATCAACATGTAGAAGAATGAAAATAGATCCATATCTATTGCCATGTACAAAACTCAAATCCAAGTGGGTCAAAGACCTCAACATAAAACCAACCACATTGTTTCCCCAAGTTCCCCCCATCCTCCCCTTCTCACTTTTCTCTCCCCAACCCCCCTTACCCCCATCCCACCCCACCCCCAAAATCCCAATTTTCTCTCTGGCAATTTTGTCTACTTCCCATAGCCAAGAGGATAATTATATGTTCTTCCTTGGGTTCACCTTCTTATTTAGCTTCTTTAGGTTCACCAATTTTAGACTCCGTAACCTTTATTTATGGCTAGAAACCAATTATGAGTGAGTACATCCCATGTTCCTCTTTTTGGGTCTGGGTTACTTCACTCAGGATAGTGTTTTCTATTTCTATCCATTTGCATGCAAAATTCGAGAAGTCATTGTTTTTTACCGCGGCGTAGTACTCTAATGTGTATATATTCCACACTTTCTTCATCCATTCTTCCATTGAAGGGCATTTAGGTTGTTTCCAGGTTGGGATAAAGCAAGGTTGGATGGGGAGCACGGAAGCACATATCTTAGTTAAGGGAGCCACCTTAGTGTTGGCAAGAGACTTGAACCTAGAGTGGCTCCCAGGAGCCCAAGGCTATGTCCCCAGTTAGTTCCTTGGGCAGATGAGGATAGGGAACCTGAAATGACCCTATCCTATAGCAATACTGACGAATATCTTGCATATCACCATAGAACCTTCATCTGGTGATGGATGAAGATAGAGACAGAGACCCACACTGGAGCATTGGACTGAGCTCCCAAGGTCCAAATGAGGAGCGGAAGGAGGGAGAACATGAGCAAGGATGTCAGGACCACGAGGGGTGCACCCTCCCACTGAGTCAGTGGGGCTGATCTATTGGGAGCTCACCAAGGCCAGCTGGACTGTGACTGAAAAAGAATGGGATAAAACCGGACTCTCTGAACATGGCGAACAATGAGGGCTGATGAGAAGCTAAGGACAATGGCACGGGGTTTTGATCCTACT